TTGTTCACCAAGAGTATCATGTTACCAAAAGAGTATAAATGTTGAGCTAATGGTGTTTGATTAAATTCAATTCACAATGTGGACATAATTTTTATGTGCCTTGGCCCATCCAGCAGAAGGTTGCACATGGACATAATCAGTGAACAACTAATCTCTATTTTATTTACTACCACTGCTTATAATAAGTTTCATTTAATCAACCTTTTCATTAATAATTATATCTACCTTATTTGAAAACCTTATGGTAGTTTACATTGGTTCTAGTCAGACATCAAAATATGATGTTTTTGGTATTAAAAAAAAAACAATTTGTAGCATTGATCACTTTCTTATGAATGATTATTAACCCTTTTTACTCCCAAGATCTCATTTTATTAATTCTCCTTTCTGTCTGCCATTCAATTCTTATGATGGTAGTTTGGAGAATTTAGTATCAGATCAACTGATAATCTCTTAAATGATATTTTTCTCTATTCTCATTACATGTCTTCTTGATCTTGTATTGATATTGTATGGAGAAATTCTATTTTGGTCACTTATGGGAGTTATAGGGTTTTAAAGGGATTATAACTTGTGGACCTACATTAAGCATGGCTTCTCATTGGTTGAAGAATGACTCAATTTGCCATTCTGCCCTTATCTATACTCTCTTTAACTTAAATCAGCTTCTGAAAGTCCCATTTATTTTACAACTGTGTGTTTGTTTGATCACCTGTTGAATTTTATTTACATCTGTCAGTATTTAATAAACTGTTAAATGTGTTTTTGAATAAGAGACAGGAATTATCAGCACTAGAGAGATTGGTACAATCTTCAAGACCTACATTTTTCAATTTATTTTTTTAATGACTTAGAACAAAGTCCATTTACGACAATCCAAAATAAAATCATGCATTATCTTATCCACAGATCAAAAATATGAGTCATATCATCTGCAATTATATAACAGTCAAGAACAAAAATTCATGGCATTTGAGCTTAAATTGATTCTTTCTTTAACCCTTTTCAGCCCAGCATCAGTATGCATATTCTCAATACTGTTCTCTGTGCATTGCCGATTGTAATGAAAGGAGAATTGTTTAGCTGGTGATCATTTCCTTTATTCTCATCACCTTAAAAGGTTATTCATTTGGGATACTGTAAGGAGAAGGTTGTCGCTAGTCACTTTTGTGGTGTCAGTAAGTGTTTTAAAATTGTTTTGGGAAGGGTGTTTTGAAAGCTCCCTGTAGAAGATTATCTGTCATACAGATATTTCAAAATAGCAATGTTCATGGTAATTTCAATTTTTCTTTTTTTTTTTTTTTTTTTTTTACAGGAAAAAGTTCTTGCAATGGATACTCATTTCAGCAAGTTACCAAACAGTCTGATTGAAATATGTGTAGTGGTGGGTATGGATCAGGATACTGGCCTTGTGGCAGCCAGGTCTGCTGAGGTAATTTAACATAAAACAAGTAAAAACAAGGGACCTTGATTAGCACATTTTTTTCAAAAAGGAAAAGAAAGGAAAGAAAAGCAGAGAAATAAATGAACAAACGAAAAAAAAAAAAAAAGGAAGGAATAAAGAATGAGCAAAGTGAAATAAGCTGCAGAAACATCTGAAAGAAGAAAAATATTATTTTGTAAACGAATGTTGTTTCCCTGAAGCCCCCAATGCTAGTAGGAAAAAGACAAACATTTCCAAGATATTTGTACACATGTGTATTGAGTGATGTTGTTGTTCTGTTTTCAACAGAGCAAGAAAGCCCCAAAAAGCAGTAAACAACAGTCTCCTCTTTCTCAAACCTTGTTTGAAACCCATGTACTGGCTGCTTTGTCTGGAGAAGTGGCTTCCTTTTGTTGCAAAGCATTGGAATTTGATAGTAAGCTACCAATTAATTGTCTTAAAAGACAAAAACTATTTCAGTCTGTTGCATGTGCTTTACATATATATTGGAGATTTCCAAACAGGAGGTGATTTATGGGAGACATTTCTTTAAGATCTGCAAGACAGCTATCGTGGCCATCTGTTTTAATGAGGAAAATGTTCATGAAATGACTGTTGGCTTTATTTGTTAACTGAAACGAGAGAAAGAATGTGCATTGAAAGACACCAACAGAGATGTATCTGATGTGAGATGATGTGCTAGAGATCTATAGTATGGGTTCTTGGCTTGACCTCAAGAGCAACTTGTATCTAGCATAGTTTATGGTTCATGCAGGAGTTGAACCATTTAAGGCTAGACTAATTTTAAGCTAAGTTGTTTCCTTTTCTTTAAGCCTATATCACAGAACATCGATATCCATTTTTCAGTTGACAGAAATTAACTTTTGACAAAGGCTCTGTGATGGCTGTTAGTGGTCACTGCTAAATGGTATTCAGTGTGAAAAATGCATTATTGCAATATCTCACAGAAAAACATCCTCACTCTTGTTGATCTTGAGGAGAAGCAAATCAGTATCTCCCAAGTTCAAACACTAACTATGTTTTTCTCCAACAGGTGAGCCTTATTATTCAAATTGGGGCATTCTGTGTAGCCCAACTAAAGGTGGAAATCCAGGAAGGCGTGCACGTAGGGGATCAGTCATGGTCAAGGCAGCTGAATTGCCATTGGCTCAAGATGTTATCAACAGCTTGCCACAATTTTGTTTTCCTGGTATGGTATAGTGTAAAACCTCCCTCTTTTAGTAAAAAGTGTGCAGTTTCTTTCACGAGTGGTCAGAAATGATTTTTAATTCTCTCCTTCCATGTCCCTTATTTTTTCTTCTCATCCAACTTTGGTAAATTTAACTTTCTTGCAGATGGGGGTTATATTTCTATGAAAAAGAAACCTGTTGAGTGTCATTCACTTGTTCTAACAGACATAGAAGGTATGTCTGTGAAGTTTGGTTACACTAGTGGTTTATTTACAGTTTTTAGCCTGCACATGAGGATAAAACAGTTAATTATTACAACCAAGTAGTTTTTTTGTGGAGTGTAATCTTCATATTATCAAAGTGACTTTTAATTAGATCAAGGATAAAATCAGTGATATAAATCAGTTTTGTCTCAAATTGACTTTGCATGCCTTTGTCATGTGTACTTTTAAACCTGAAAAATGTTTACTCTTATACTCTCTCCAGGTAACCGAACATATTGTTCCTGCATGACATTCTACAGAGGGTTTCTCATAGAGGAGGTAAGCATTCACATTGAAATATTTCAAGATTGGACCAATACAGGGATTTTCAAAAATTCAATATTTTGAGTTATAAGCACACTGGGTTTTCCAATCTTAGGGAAAACAGCTTCAACCAATAAGAAACAAAGAAGAATTGGAATGCAAAAATTTTGTTTGAGCTTTGTCACAAATATCACATCCATCTAAAAGGAGTGCAATTAAGTCAAATTCAGCATTAGCAAAGGAGATATAAAAAATTTTTCTAAATACAAAATCTCTCACCTTTGTAACATTTAAGGGTGAAAAAAAAAACAAAACAAAACAAAAAAATGAAACATGAACAGTACATTAGACATGCCTAAAATTTGTCTAAATCCTAAGCTTAACCTTAAACTCCCACAAGTTATTAATAATGTAACTTCTCTCTACAATATTCATGCATCGTCCACCAAACAGGCCAAGAGAATACTCAAACTTATCAAGTAGAAGTTAATATCTTTATCCAACACCAAATTCTTCAAACTAACATACAAGGACAACAACACGTTGCTGCTCTACATGCCTGTTAGGCGTAAAGGACAAGAGAGAGAGAACATACAAGGAAATGGTTGTCAGCTTGAGGGTAGAGTTAACAATCAGATAGTCACAGTTAAAGGGTTACTGTGTAACACACCTAATAGGGGTGACTTAATTAACAGAAGTAAATTTTTAAAAGTAGTTCTTTTCAATTTAACATTTTCAATAATCATCTCTTCAATAAACGTATTTAGGACAAAGATGTACCAGGCAATTACAAGTTGTTTTATGCAGAGGAAAAAACTGATGGACAAGGTATTTCACTTTCATCTTGGCATCCAAAGTTAAAAAAATGTCAAATATTCAGTTAACTGACACTTAAAGGTTAATGCAGATGTAGAAAATTGTTGGTGGCAGTAGGGATTGCTGATAAATCTCTATAAAGAAAAATTATCAAACAAACAGGATCTGGTAGACCATAACAGCCACTTCACAACTAAAAAGCATTCAGCATAGGTTCTTGAAATTACGCAAGAAAAGCCATAGAAAAAAAAACCAGTCAAACTTGACATTTTTGTTTTTGATAATAATTTTTCCCTGGAAATTCTCTAATAATACTGGACCTCAGAGACTCCTTTCAGTTTTGAAGCTCATTTTCAAACAATAAATGTTCTGTTATTTGTTCAAGTTAGAGCCATGAGCTTGGAGCCTTTTGACTTGTTTGTTAGCTGCTAATTGATTTTTCTGTATTTCTTTGAGATTGAAAAATGTAAAACACAAATACATGTAGTTCTTGTGTTTGTTTATTTTGCAGTTGTTCCAGGCTCTTCTTATCAGTTGTTTTACGTACCAACATGTTGCTGTTTGATTTCTAAATGGCCTTATTTCAACATAATGAAAGACTGTTTGTCCAGGTGAGACGTGAAACCATCCACAGCATCAGCATGTAACAAAATTTCTGTTCTTCTAAAATTAAACTAGTTTTACTATAGACAGATGGATAGCAGAGATACGACTTTGCTATGATTACATCTTTGGCAAAAAAACAACAACAATAACAAAAAAACAACAGAAAATGGATGTTAGCATTGATAAAGTGGCCCACAAGTAAATTGACCTACTTTTAACTTGCCTTCATCATCGGTCAACTCACCTTCTTCTTAACCCTTAAACCCCCAGAGGTGATCAACATGCAACTTCTCCCAATAACATCCATACATTATCTAGCAAGCTGGTAATGAGAATACTCAAACTTATCAGGTAGAAGTTGTCATCTTGATCTAACTCCAAATTCTCGTAAATAACTTACGAGGAAATGTGCAGTAGCCAGAGGAGAGAATTAACAATCAGATCTTGGGAGTTAAAGGGTTAACTCAATTTAATTTTATCTTCAAATATCAGCTGATACACATTATACCCAAAGATCAAAATTTGCAATGGCTATATGAGCGATGGATTCCATTTTGTTTGGAAATATGCCTTGAACTGATAATTCCCAAGGAAAAAAGCGAGCACATTTTTACGGCATATATTGATGCTTTTGTGGTCTTTATCGGATAAGTATCTTTATTGCTAGGGGGACGAAAACTTTACTTACAACTTAGCGTCTAAAACTTTAACTGCAGGGGGTGTGGACTTTTCAGCGTTCCCTCAGATGACTGAACATAAGGTTTCAGAATTGAGAAATATCTTATGGGGAATTTTGAATAATATGAAATATTCCCCATTTCTAGCTGCGGCATATTTGGTGTTCTGACTTGCCTAGACCGAGAGCGTGCCAGCGAAAATATTTAATTGATTGTAACATTTTTCCGGGAAAAAAGTTGCGTACCAACACGATTTATGCTTTCATCCCTACCAATTCTGTGACTCACAGTTTGTTACCACAAGTGATGACAAGCGATCCAGCACTTTTCAGAACAGCTTTAATGCAGTTTGTGTCACAGCTTGCCATGGTACCAGTCCCTCCACCAGGTTCTCTTGGAATAGTAAGTAACCTACACATTTGGGTTTTTAAAGTGATTTATCAAGTGACTTGCAGGTAAACTGACGAACTGTGTTACACATAGACTGAAAAAAGGTACGGACCGACTGGCTGATTAACTGACCGATTAACTGGCCGACTGATCGGGTAACTGAGTGACTGACTAGTTGACTGATTGACCGACCAACTGACTGACGAATGACCGACTGACTGACTTACATGTACTGTCTGACTGAGTAGCTGACTGACTCACTCACTGATTGACTGTCTGACTGAGTAGCTGACTGACTCACTCACGGATTGACTGTCTGACTGAGTAGCTGACTGACTCACTCACTGATTGACTGTCTGACTGACTGATTGACTGTCTGACTCACTGATTGACTGTCTGACTTACTGATTGACTGTCTGACTCACTGATTGACTGTCTGACTCATTGATTGATTGACTGACTGACTGATTGACTGTCTGACTGACTGATTGACTGTCTGACTGACTGATTGACTGTCTGACTCACTGATTGACTGTCTGACTCACTGATTGACTGACTGACTGACTGATTGACTGACTGACTGACTGATTGACTGTCTGACTGACTGATTGACTGTCTGACTGACTGATTGACTGTCTGACTGACTGATTGACTGTCTGACTGACTGATTGACTGTCTGACTGACTGATTGACTGTCTGACTGACTGATTGACTGTCTGACTCACTGATTGACTGTCTGACTCACTGATTGACTGACTGACTGACTGATTGACTGTCTGACTGACTGATTGACTGTCTGACTCACTGACTGACTGACTGACTCACTGATTGACTGTCTGACTCACTGATTGACTGTCTGACTCACTGATTGACTGTCTGACTCACTGATTGACTGTCTGACTCACTGATTGACTGACTGACTGACTGATTGACTGTCTGACTCACTGATTGACTGACTGACTCACTGATTGACTGTCTGACTCACTGATTGACTGTCTGACTCACTGATTGACTGACTGACTGACTGATTGACTGTCTGACTCACTGATTGACTGACTGACTCACTGATTGACTGTCTGACTCACTGATTGACTGTCTGACTCACTGATTGACTGTCTGACTCACTGATTGACTGTCTGACTCACTGATTGACTGACTGACTGACTGATTGACTGTCTGACTCACTGATTGACTGACTGACTGACTGATTGACTGTCTGACTCACTGATTGACTGTCTGACTGACTGATTGATGGATTGATTGATTGATTGATTGATTCTAATCATCATTTCCTTTTGCTTGCAGGAATTCGAGCTCCTTGGAGTTAAACATCTTTTGCGACCTGCTGAAACTCCAGGTGAATAGAGAATTAATTCAATCAGCTACTTCAGCAACGTCTAATCATCGTTCTGTTAACAACGACAACATCAAAAAATGCAAATCCAATCTGTGTTCATGATTTCTTTGAGTTCCTGTTTGGATGTCCAAGCTTCCTTCGCTAAATATTCCTAATCCTCTATCATGTCACAGAAACTCGAGTTGTCAACATGGAACTTCATTATCCGTTCCTTTATTTCTCGTTGGATGACATTCTTCTCCTAATGAGCTGCATTTTGACTCAACAACGGATTATTTTTCTCTCGTCGTCGTATTCACTGCTTACTCCAGTGATTGAGGTTTGTTTCAAGCTTTTGAAAATTGATAATTAGTGGGAGGATTTACCGTGCGAATGTGGGATTCAAGCTTAAGGTCGTGAATGACTTAACCCCACTGAATTTCTTAAAACCTAGACGAATCATGTGTTTTTTATTTTCTTCAGAAATTCCACCTTAGGACCTCGACTTTTCTTTCTTAGCCACACCATTCCCAAAATAATTTAAACTCTATCTCATCTTGTCACAGAAATAACTTTGGAATCTTTCCTTAACTGTTGCCGAGGAAACCGCCTCCCTTTACTTGCGCTTTTGAAAAAAAAATTAAAAACAACAGTTATATTCCCGTTAGAACAGATATTCTCGACACTACTTTCAAATGTAAACTATCCTTTTTTTATTTGCAGAGTTTATTCACGTTTATCCAACCTTTTTCATGGAGTTGGACATATGTACCAATCCTTCCAAGGTAGGTGATTCATCTTATTGTATCGATGTTGATTGCCCAGCCACTGCATCAACACTTTGTTTATGAGACTGATAAGAATCTGGGTGTGCTTTGCAGAACAATTTCTATAATAAAGGCCCCTATCTAAGACTGTTTCCCAATTCTTTCCTACTGTGTTGCATGTAAATAACTGCCCTTAAATCGAACCCATTTCACATCTCTCTTGACTCAATTCCATGTACAGCGTCAAATAACTGAATTTTTCGAGGTGGCATCTGCGAGATGTTTTAAATTTATTGTCTAGGAATATTTATTGTGTCGAACTATTATCATTCAAAATCGAGCACAGCATCGTGTTACAGACAAACAAAACTGTAGACATGTCGCACATATGCAAATCTTCCTGAAGGCGCATGTTATGACTAACGAGGTCTTATCGATAGAATGGGCATACAATTTTATGAATATTGGTTGAAGAAATATTTTATGTTACTCTTACTTCTTTATTTGACTTTTGATTCCTTTATTATTATTGTGTCTAGCATTATATACAAAGGTGCCAAAAAGCATAATCACTAACATTATTATCAGTTTATCAAATATATAGAAATACTTGGAGAATAGAAATGACTCATGTATTTGATACTTCTGCAGTGCACTCATAGATTTAGTAGAAGCGCCTGGTGCATTTATTATGGGATGTCATAAAGAACATAAGAGCAAGATACAACAAGTTGTCGAGGGGATGGATGAGGTATAAATAACTGTTATACCCTCTGGTAGCTATAGTTGTAAACAGTGGCCACAGACAATCTACATGCAATTTATCCCGCCCTGTCTTAACTCGTCTTTTTTTTTCTTTACCAGATTTCTACCTTGTCCAACATCCCCATAAACCCACCTTCCAGATTGTGATTGTTTTTCTTTACCCAATCAATTTGCACTGCGAAGCACTTCATGATATGCCATAAATCGACTCTGACGAAGGCTAACTCTCGAAACGTCAGCTTTTAAACTCCTTACGGTGACCAAATTACGTCATCAATTCAGTTAATAATACTTTATTACCCTGTTATACTCTCCCACCGAAGCAGCACCACAGTTTCTTTAGAACCTTAACCCCCTTCATGATATGCACAGTAACAATTTTCGATTATTTGTTTATGAAGGGAATTTATTTTGCGTTTTTTTTCTCAGTTGTCCAGCTTTGTAATTGCTGATATCGACGAGGGTTCAGTGACCAGCCCTCCCAGAATTCAGCGATTGCCGACCTATGCTGCAGAATTGTACAAATTTAGGTATCGACCTGTTCTTAGTTATATTGAAGACATTCACCGTATAAATTTCGCCTCTTAAACTGACATTTTTGTGAGTCATTTCAAAGGAATCAAACAGTAGAAAACTACGCATCTTTCTTTTGCTTTAACGAGGGTAAACCAAACCGTTTAAGGATTTTGATTCCGCTCTAAGTTCTGCTTTTTCTGTGTTAGACAGCGCTTTAAAGGTAGAGTGAACCTTCCTTTCGCAAATTTCAAGATGAGATATTTTTAATGAATAACTGATTACGCTTTTGTTTAGGATGAAAAACGCAGTAATCCACTTTGACCGTCTTCTTGTTCAAAGGTACTGTACCACGAATTTAGTCTCTTTATAGTTTTTTATTGTTAATGTTTACAAGAATACTTTGTTTAATGACTGACAACCGTTACCTCTCAGTTTGAATTTGGATACATTTTCTTAGAGAAAGTTTTCTTAAAAATACATTTTACGCATTTGCAGACAAACATTCTACTCTTTGCAAGAATGGAACAACTGCAGAGATAAGTTCGTAAGAGATTTCCAACGGCTTGTTTTAGCATGTGAGTTACACTATGGCCTTTGATGCAGTGACTTTGAAGCATTTCTGCGACAGAATCACACATTTTTTAAAAGCTTGGTAGAAAGGCCAAAATTTATTGAGTGCCATGAGTACACGATAATTTTAGTACTATGGAATTTAGTAGACTTGTCATATGCAGTGAAACTTATCTTTCGCAGACACCCTCATGAATATCAGTAATGTCCACGTCGCATATTAAATCTAAAATTAGATTTTATACTTTGTATTTTGAATAACCAAATATTGTTTTTATTCTCTAGCCAATTTGGAGATGATGTTGAGAATGTTCAGGTGCGTTTTTTCTAGAACTTGTTTCTTTAAAAATCTTTAAAAGGACAATAAGAAGCTAAAATATATATTTTAGAGAAAAAGTATAGCCTCACAAATAATCATATCCTTCGAGAAAAAGAAATAAATTATTTTCTAGCAGATAATGGACTAACTCTCAATTAAAATCTCGGAGGCATACACTGAGGAATTCAGTTGTTCTATTTCGAGTTTTCGAATGCATCGGTAAGTAATGTAGATCGGATGCTTTCAGTTGGACTGCAGACAGTAACCATCCTAAATACTGTTGTATTTCAATGTATTTCTTTTTGTATTTTTTTAAAAATTTTTTTTCTTATTTGCAGTGACATTAAGAATTTTATCGTACAGCAAGAAGATGTAAGATAATATTGTTGTTAATTATGTTTATTCTTGCACGTTGTCCGGCGCAAACAGTAGAAAGATGTCTGAGCTTAAGTAATGCCGTGAAGTATTTGTTTGGATGTATTACTTGCAATTTGTAGTTGGCAAATGGCTGAGCGTCTTATTTGAGCTTTTGGAAAATTCAGGGCACGCTGCTTTGTGAAACTATTACACGCGCAAAAAAACTGCCCAACAATGTGAAAGTGTAAAACGATTGCGGTATTAGTAAATAGTGAATATTCGATACACTTTTTTAAAAGACATTTTACACGTCTCTCCAAAGCTTTTCTTTGATATGGATACTTACATTGAGTCAAAGCCTGCAGAAAACCAAGATTTCTTTCGGGAGGTGAGAGAGACATTCTTAAACTTAAATGGCCGTGATCTTGGCTGTGAAATATGTTAGTGAAATGTTTCTTAAGGGCAGGTGTATTTTTCCAACCGAGTGCATCATTAAACAATACCTCGAATGACAAACACTTAGATGGCAATTGTTCTACATCATAGAGAACGCGAAAGATTATTCGTGTTTAGAATCAGGAAATGAAAAGATTTTTACATTTTCATGAACACCCTGATGATCTTAACAAAATCAAGTGATGGTAATTGTTATGTTTGGGTTGTCCTGTTTTTCGGTTCCAAAAGGGTTAATGATAAGTCAAAAAATATGTGGAAAATGGATTCTTATGGAGGTGGGAACGAAACCAATCAACTGAAGTGTTTCTCGGCTAGGTTCTACAATAAAGATTTGTAAGATCCGTATCTAATACACAGTTGCTTACGATGATTTTTTCTAGGTGTGCAAGAGTCAAGCATTTAGCATGTTTCTTTACGACCTGATTCACAACTCAGAAAAGGCAGACTACTTTACACTCATGGCTCAGAAAACCAGGGTTGTTCCAAAGTAAGTCGTCATGCAATGTTTATCAATATCAAGACCGAACTTAAAAATACAACTCTGACTAGCCTAAATCTGGGGTTAGATAGGATCCGGTTCGTCAGGGATCTTGGATGGACGATTTGGGCTCCTCAAAAATATTAACCGAAATGTTGAGCACATGCTTGTGACTATCTCATTCATAGACATTATTTATCCTTACAATATCATCACCATGATTATGAAAGCGATCCTCGCAGTAACGAACACTACTTGAGCAGTAGTGAAAATAAGGCCTGGAAAAAATTCAAGCCTCTACGGGATTTGAACGCATGACCTCTGTGATACCGGTGCAGCGCTCTACCAACTGAGCCAACAAGCCAACTGGGAGCTGGCTATTATGTTGGTTCCAAATATATGACTTTCACATATTCAAAGTCGTTTAATATCATCATCATATTAATCAGACGAGTGAGGAGAACGAAGACAACACTATCAGTAAGGGAAAATTAGTTGATCAAATACCAAATTCTCCAAACTATATCATAAGAATTGTATGGCAGACAGTAAGGAGAATTTGTAATAAGATCTTGGGAGCGAAAGGGCTCAAACTACTCTTCTTGTGTGATGAAATAGTTTTACCTTTCTTAGGACAGGTCCTCTGAGGAAAAGAAGTTCATCTGCATTGACTGTCCCTGTTATACCTGAAGAATGTTTTGCCAATGCACATGAGGAACTAAGCATATTTACTCTTCCTCCTTTCGTCCGCGGAGGCATCCACACAGGTAAGAGATGCTCACACGCTCTTATATGGAAAAAAGTATTTTACAATTTTTCATGAACGTACATTAGTTGTGGTAACTTTTTTATTATTATTTAAAATCTAAACCGTTCAGACGGGTTTTTGTTAATTCTCTTTCATACTAGTGACTATGGCGAAATATTTCTTTGTTTCACTTGCAGTCTTACAGACATTAGTATGATATATCTTACTTCTTGGAAATGTTTTCATATGTTGTCCTTACGTGGTGAAATGTTTTCTTTTCCCGTAGGACTTTTCTACGAAGATTACTTGAGGACGTTGAATTACAAGATCACTGTAAATACACTTTTTCTCGCACTATTCGAATCATGTGGAGACTTCACCATATGACTACCTTCGGTTCCATAATTCTGTATGCTTAACGTAAAGAACTACGCTATCGTTGAAGAAAAATACTTTTTCTCCACCTCAGTTCTAACAGAAGTGTTTTGTCTTCCTTTACACAGGATCCTACGAATAAGTCTTCAGGTCTTCTAGCTAACCACTTGTACTTGCGTGGGATGTTACGAATTGCTCGTGGAGAAAAAACCAAGGTAGGAATGTAACTTCTTATTTTTTCCCTTGAAAATTCATGTTCATTTGGTTTTCGAGCGCTAAATCTCCGACACAATTCACCAGATGCGAAATTCCCAGCTGGTAATTAACATGTGGTGCGGACTTCCATCGCGGCCTTGTTTTATGTTCTTACTTGCATTCATTGAAAGATGCAAATTGAAACAAGGTTTCGTGAAGCGAGTTAGTAACTATACCTTCAAAAATAGTCTGTATAAAAGATGCAAGCTCGAAATACATAACGATGGTGTGCATGTGCAAATGGAGGAGACATTATAAACTGAACGTGAAGTTACGCCAAAGTCAGAATAAAGATTCATACGAGCGCGCTGTTTTCGGCAGTTTCATAACCAAGTATGTCCAAAGAATATGGCGTTCAAGTAGAGGTGGTGAAGATAGAAACATGTTGGAACTTTATTTCATTTTACGCCCTGTCCTTTGTGGAAGAACTGTTGACAGACTTGTTATTATTAGTCTGTATTACTCCACAGGCCGTGGACGACTTCTTTGGAGTTTCATCGACAAGTGCGCAGCTCTTCCCAACCTCGTAAGTAGCAATACGCGGAGCTTTTAAATTGAAATTCAATCAGAAACTGTAAAAAAAAATTGCAGACGTGCTTTTCAAGGATGAAACTTACTTCCAGACTGGGCTAGTGAAGGATTCATTGCAGTTTAATAGATGAATGAAAGAGACACGTTTATTCCCACAATATTTTCGCTTTGGCTTGCTGTCGTAAAACAAAATCCTCTCTCAGGGAGCAGAAAAGGAGGTGCGTTAAATCATATTTCAGATTTTTGAAAGTCAAAATTTAAATTTGATTTGGACAGGATTAGTTGATATTTTTACACAGCGTGAATTACAAATTATAAAAAGAAAAAGAGAGGAATAAATACTTAAAATTTGATCATGGACCAAAGTAACTTACAAAGGCAAAGTTGGCTTTTTTATCTTTGGTTGTAGGACCGTGAAGGAGATCATGTGTAAACTGAGCGATTTAGAAGTAGAGGAGTTAAGAACAAGAAATTTCTGGAGGAAAGCAGAGCGTCTCAGGCTTCACGCCAAGGTTTAATGCGATAAACTGTTTTACTTGGTCATCTGAAAGTCGGTTTGCCATTTTAGTACCATTTATTTCTTTGCTGGCCGTTCCTGAGAATTTCTCGGTCTACCCGCGAAATCACACGCATTCACTAATTGATAATTTTCTTCATTCCCGTTATCTGGCGGCATAGAACATTGATAAAAATATTAAGGGATTCTCTATACTGATTACTCCTCGGAAAAAAGAGGTTAATGCAGTTTAATCCTACTAGCGGAGTTCCATAAACAAACAGACGAGAAAACAACAAGAAAAACTGAGCAGAGTAAACACTACTTGTTTGCTTTGTAGAAGTGAAACTAATGTTACGTGGAAGTACATTTAGAAGAGCACCTTGCTAATACGGCACGGAGAGCGAAGTTCGCGACTCCCTTGACATTTACACCTTATTTTTAGTTATTACGAGTATGACGAAAGCCGGGCCGCCTTATATCTACTTCTTATAAAATTTTTTATTGTTTTCTTTTAGGAAAAGTGGAATTACAGAAGGGCAAGGTAAATGATACAGTTAATGTTTTTGAAACTTACAGCCTTAGCAGTTTAACAAAACGCATATATTTCACAGCAGTAACAAAGATCCGAAAACGAACAACGTGTACGCCTTGGCACGAACACGTTACGCCTATGCATGCACAATGCATATGCACAGGCACATGCACAGGGCATATGTATACGCATTTGCCGCGAACTCGCAAACTTACACGCATACACTTATGCAAACGCATACGCATATGCACGCGCATACAACCATACATAAACATGTGCACACATATACGTTAATACATACGCACAGGCATACGCTTAAACACTCATTTGCACATGTATACGCATATTTAACCGCATACGCAAATGCACAACAGATAATGCAAACTAAAAATACAAATTAAAAAAAATCAATTAGATAAGAAAAGAAATATAATTCACCAGAAGTTTCACGCACGTATAAACTTTGTATTACATGAGCATGATATAAGGAAAACGTAACCGACGTTGACTTTGTAAACGCAAAACGCGATTGATGATACACTGTCTGATGTTTCTTATTAGAAAAGAGGTGGTTACTTCAGCAATTCCTTCAGCTCCTTTAGGTATGTCTCATTTGTGTCTGCATGGCGAAAAAATTTCTTTCAAAATAATCCTTACGTTAACGCTGCCAATAGAAAAGTTGGAAGAAGAGATTCAGACACTCTCTATGTGATACTTTCTTTCTTTATTTTCTATTGCCTTTTTTTTAAATATCAATAATTTTTGCCATAGATAATTTTTTAACTTGTGGATTCGCGAAGTGTGGAAACATTTCTTACCCAGATAAGCTGTGAGGACTCTGATCTGAACAGAGACTTAAAGAAACATTACTTTGGCACTCAAACTATTTTTTGCATTATTGTTTTCTTGTTTTCATCAGCTTTTAAAGAATTCGTGAAACATGTAAGCATGTTACAGATAGCGAACGGTGAAGATGCTGGACGAAGACTATTCCAAGCATTGGCGAATAATTCAACAACAAACGGTAAAGAGGGTTGTTTGAATTCCTATCGAAACCAGACCGAAAAAAAAAATCATTTTTTTAGTTATGAAATTTTTTCGATTTTAAACGTTAGACGAAGATGTGAAAATGTGTTCTGTTTTTTCATTGCAGTGATCGATCCAGACACGTTTGCCGCATTTTATGATGCTTTCACCCAGGTATCTAAATACTGCAGATGTGATGAACATCCATATCGCTTCGCTGTTATTATTTTTTTTTCTTTGTCCTTTGTTGTCATCACCTGACTGTTTTCTCCAACTGGTGGTCTTCCGACATTATTTCACTCCTTCTGACTAAAACGTTTATTTTTTTGGTGCTCCTTTCATTCGTTCGTTAATCTCATTTTCGCATTTTTTATTAACAGGCTAGCATGATGGCCAAGAGTGTTTCATTACGTAATATTGTTTTGGAACGCAACGAGGTGATGTTCTTACTGAATTCACGTTTGTTTTGCTTTTGATTTTATTTTATGTTCGACAGATTTTTCGCTTTATTTGTCCATTGCGTCAACATCGTTGACGTCTGCGGAGTAAATTGCATAACTACCCGGAACTCATCTCAGTTTCTTTACCATGAAGCAGCTAGAAGCATTGTCTTTCCCAATCCCCCATGGGATGTTAGTGTATTGGAGGTTAACCCCCCTCCCAAGTATCTAGTCAAGCTTCCCTGGTAGTTTGTTAGCACCCCTTAATACTCCTGGGTTGAGGAGGCTCTGTGAGAATTAAATAAACAACCCGAGGACGAGCACGCGGCCAACTCTCTAAGCCAGACCTCTCTCCGACACTATTTGGCATCAACGCTTCTTCTTTGTTTTCTCCCAAGTACCTGGTTACATGTTAATAGTTACATGTTAATTTTTCTCTGCAGTTTGTACTGAAGATTTCAAAGCATATCAAGACAAATAAGGGCATGGGCTGGCTTGTTCTCACAGTCGACAGGTCAGTGTTCTCTTGTGTAAAATTGTGAAATTATATTGTACATTTAAAAAAGTAAGTATTGTGTTCTCGTGGTTAAGAAGTGTGATCTGGAGGAGACTCATGTGCCTAGTACTTTAGCCTCAAGTTCTTTTTCGCTTCAGATTGTTGTTCCTGCCGGATGGAACTCAGCATTGTATATCTGTTGTAAGAAATGACGAAATAAAAAATGTTGAGCCGCACTCCGGGGGGGTGTTGTTAGGTGGAGATACAGCTATCCGAATAACCAGCACTGGTAAGTCAGATATAGAGAGATCTTTTAAGTTATGTGAAAAGTCTGATAAGGTCTGTGAGATATGAACGGTAGGAAGCAGCGGTAATGATTGAAGCCGGTTGACGTGTGATTCGCTAATACATTTAATTCTTGTGGGTTTTTTTTTTTTCAATTCAATTTTTTAGTCAACCTTGGATTTGATTTCTTTTACATTCATCAGTCTCGAAGTATAGACTGATGCTTTTAATATGATTAATTATATTGAAGAAAGTGAGCTTGAGAATGACCTATATTTCCCGTGTATTGCTCGAGAATCAGCCTGTAGTGTAAGTGTCAATGGAACGCGAGTGTTTAACCCTAGCTCGCACGAGCGAGAATTCTTGGGCGTTTTTTCTTTCTCTCGCACGCGTGTTCCTTGATTTCCTGCCGATCGCCTGCTTCCTAGGCTGAAAAGAATCGTTGCGCTATTTCGAATCTTTTTAGGTGACGTGATAAACTTGCTTCAATTTAAAGAGACCACAAACTACAAAATACGAAAAGGATGAAGAGGTAATGATGACCCAATTAGGAACAAAGATTGCTATGGATAAAGAGTACTGAGAAGAACATCAATCAGGAAACGCGTGAAGGGTGGGATAAATTTGTCGCGATGCACACACTAAAGTGCATTAAATCTCACTTTTAAAAAAGCTAACATCTTTATAACGAGCAGCACATTGACAAGCTCCTACCTTTTGTCCTCTATTCCCTTACAGAAAGTGATCCAGTGTCTTTCATAGCATTTGTAAAGGAAGAGAAGGATTTCTGGCGAAGCTGTTTGCTGGAAATGAAAGCAGGATACAACATTTCTGATGGTAAGCAGACTGAATTAACTTGCGTTCTGTCTTCAGCCATGTTGGTTAACACTATCTGATAAATTAACGCACGAAGTACGTTTTAATTATTAAGTTGTTTCTACTTATTTTAGGGGGCAACAGTTTTATTTGCGCGAGAAATGGCTCCGTAGCTTATAAAAACAACAAAACTCTTGAAAGGAAAAAATGCTGATCTATTTTATTTTGATATTGGGCGTAGAAGGAAAAAATGTTGAATACTCTCATGATGAATATCGCAGAGAGCTCATACAAACTCAAAGAAAACCCAGCGAAATGGCTTAAAGTGCGGAAAAACGCGAGTGGCTAAGTTGCAGTTGATTTTATGTCTGATTGGTTGAAAGTTTTCACAGGGCGCAGTAAAGCAAAAGCACTATTATCCTAGCCTGCAGAGCAGGGTAATTTTGGCGGGTGAGTCCTCAGTATTTTCTTAACGGAAATTATAGCCGCCATCTTTGATTTTAATGGCAGCGTAGGGCTGGGGAGAGAATAAAATATATATCAAGGGGGCGGTTGTCGGCCAAAAATAAGGAGAGGGGTGGGGATGTAAAGATGACTATCCTTGATTATAAACTTCATTATGGAGATCTCTGTTGCTCAGTGGTATAGCATCAGATCGCCAAATCTGCGGGTTAGGGGAGATTGATCCTTTGTGGGAGACTTTTTCCCATGTTCGAGACAAAGAAAATAAAATCTTCAGTCGATCGAAAATTTCTCAAAGCGGTCATGTTTTTCTTTGTTTGAAGTTTACAAGGACAAGGAAATCGTAAAGCAAGCGGCTCAAAACGTCATCATGGCGGATTCTCTCAGACAAAGGTAACCACGAAAATTTCAATCTATGTCGTCGTAAATTTTGGCCAAATCTCAGTTACATCAAGGGCGGATAACGCTATTCAACGGATAAATCGCTATCCGGCAGACAAGTGATTGCAAAACGGATAGAGTTTTATACAGTGGATAACGTTATAAAACTTTCGAGAAACCGGTGCCAGCTCTCTGAGCTCTTTCCGAAAAGTGAAGTCCCCATTGCACCTTTCTGGGTTTATCACTTTAGATGAGCGTTCTTTGAAGCTTGTAGTCATGTTTGAATTTCTTCTCTTTCATTTTTTCTTTAACAGTGACTACCAGGACCAAGTTGCAATGGTAAGATAATTGAAACCCTGCATAACATTTTCATTTACGTTCTTATGTACTTGGACAATTTAAAATTTAATATAAAATAGCTGTTTCTTTGTTTATTTGATGTATATCGCATGAAGTCATTTTTTGTCAGTCATTGTTTACTGTAAACTAACTCGTTTATTAAATGGGCTTTGGTTCATCTAAAACCCACCTTTCATCGCACTAGTAAATGCACAGCTAACATACCGTGTGGATTAATTCGCCGGGAAACCGACAGAAATTGTGATCTAGTATTAAAAAGCTTTCGTGAGTTGTGAACGTCTCAACTTTTCATATCACAGTTGACTGTTTACAAACTTAAGCAAAGGTGTTGAATCCCCTGAGCAGCGTAGTGGAGGTACCACTCGCCGCTGTTACCTCCTTTCTCCGCACAATTTCTTGTTTAGTTGGCCAAATTGCTGTAACTTATTTACCATCGCTATTTTGTTACGATTTGAGTCTCTCAAACCACTCTGAGTGTCTTCTCTGAATTGCTGACCGTCTTTATCGACGTAAATGTCTCATGCGTCACAGTTGCCTACTTCCGCTGCACAAACGAGTTGTTTCTCTGGAGGCTCGATTAAAAGTTTAATTTAAGCATGCTTTAAAAGGAAACATTCCCCTTAATACCTTCCGTAACAGCAAAACGAGAAGGGAAATGAAGTCACTTGCCCTCAAACGTATTCATCTTCTTTCTTTTTTCTTGGGCATTGTTGTTCTTGTTTCTTAGGAAAGGAATTTGAATATCTCTAAGTAATCTCTTTTAAAAGTTTTAATTGAAGTGAAAGTCTGAACATACTACTGTTCTTCTTAATATCTTTGCTTTCTTTGTAGCAAGTTCTCTACTTTAGCACGCAGGGCTATAACATAGATAAATTGACCGAGGCAACTGAAAAGGTAAGACGATTTCAAAACGGTGAAATGCAACCAACCTCAATGCGCTCGAGAGGGCCTCTTTGACCATCTCTTTGTCTTCGGGATAATGAGGATAAACTTGAGAATCCCTCACCATTGTTCAAACGATATGCGAGGATTGAGGGTGCAGTGGCGTAACTGAGTTAGTTTTTGAATCCTCTGGCGCAGTTAAAACTGGGAAACCGCTTCAATTCTCAATTCTTGAACCCGATCTGCCGTGTCACGTGTGGGTCGAGTTTGTTATTGGTCTTCGTCCTTGATCCCGGGTTTCCTCCAGGTTCTCAGGTTGTCCACCCTCCACTCTAAATTCCAATCTGACCTGAAAACAGCGGACGAGGAACCAGCCGCTGCCACTTTTTCGATGCGTTTCATATTTACTTTTTTTAAAACTTTTTACTTATTTAAGGCGCTGTACAAGAGAGTGAGCCCCTCACCTCAGGACATTGAGAAATCAACAGTGGAGGCTTTGCTTTATGTGCGAGGCTGTAAGTTATAAATGTTTTTCCTTTAAAGATGCATGGTGTACACATTGTGTGAAGCCCTTGCCCTCTACGCCAAACACTTCCACACCTTTCTCAAAGAATGAAAAAAAAACAAATTTCGTGTGTTACTTTGCCAAATGGAACTCCGTACAAACGTTGTATTCCCTATTGTCTTCTTTCTTTAGCGAAAGGTAGAGAACCAAAGGTCTGGTGTGCCATGGTGAGTGACAGTATTTTTTGGACGTAAACGTTGCAATAAATTATATTTTCAGCACACAACTTCTGATCCTTCAGGCTAGAGGCGCCCCCTTAAGATCTCATTTGTAATCCTCCCTACTGTCTTCCATACAATTCTTGTTATGTTAGTTCGGAGAATTTGATATCGGGTCAATTAATAATCTCCATAGAGATATTTTTATTTATTTTCATCGTTTGTCTACCTGACATGGTATTGATATTGTGGGGAGAAATTGTGTCTCGATGACTCATGCGATTTTTCCCTGTTTGAGCCGTCAAATTTTAATCTTCATCATAATCCACATGTATGTTGATTGATCTTGTTTTTCAGGGCTCTGGTGTTGTTGTCGTGATAGATACCAAAGAGTGGGAGCATGAGACGCACATGAAACATGCGAAGGATAGGGTGGTAAGTGAACAACGAATTATGGGTACATACGAGTGAAAGGGCGGAAGGTAACCCGGATTGTGGGTTCGGCCCGGTTTGAAAAATTGCTAGCCAGGTAACGTGGTCTGACCTTGGGCAACGCAATGAAATGTCTCCACTAGGGTCAAATCCTTGAACATAAAGTTGTTTATAAAAATTTATTGTCGTGCAAAAGCCCTTTTTAAAGGATAGGGCGAGGGGAGGTGGTGTACTGGCCCTTGATTGTTTAAGCCAAAGATAGCGTGGAAGCCCCATAGAGGACTCACTGAGTCACTTTCGATTTCCCTTGCGATTGGGATTTATTTTTAGCCTCGTGAGGATGTTCACCAGACTGGATTCGGGACCAACAAGTGATTCGGTAGCGAAGTAAAAGATAAAATTTTGTAAAATTCCACTGATTTGTAAACCGAACATTCCTGGTTGCATTCACTGCAGAGTTGTCTGTTAGCCGTCGAAGAGAACCAAGTTTGGGCTGGTTCCTTGGATACAACGATTTATGTGATCAATACACAAACTGGGAAAGGTAAGGAACAGTTACATATTCTCAGCAGATAAGAGAATTGGTGACGTTTGTGTTATTTTGGCTGCTAACCTTCCGCCTGCCAAAAGAGTTACTCTCGTAGCTGTGTACGGTCTTCCTTCTTTTATTTCCTTTAATGAAGACTTAAACTGAAAGTTCCTTTATATTTCGCATATGTAACAAAACCCGTGTCAAGTGGAACCCATTTTTGTCCTTTTTTACGCCCTTGCTGTCCATTTTTGCTGTCCATTCCGTTTTCTGGCGTTTCGAGCGTTAGCCCTTCGTCAGAACGAAGGGCTAACGCTCGAAACGTCAGCTTTTTTACCCTTTACGGTGGCTAGTTTACGTTTTCAACTCAGTTGTTAACACTAAATTACCTGCTATACTCTCCCACCGACGCAGCACCACAGTTTCTTTAGAAACTTACCCCTTTATTCATTCCGTTTTCTAGCTTCTAGGCGTATCGTTGTGTAATAATTAAGGCTTGCTTTTTCTCTGGTAGCACCTTCTTCGTAGATATGTTTGGTTTGTATCTGTCATTTTCTGGGGGCTATTGTGCTGATATGATATGAAGTTTATGTTAAGTTAAATCACATGTGGCAGTTTTTAACAAGTGGTCTTGAGGATATATTAAAGTTCACACGGCAACCAGGTGGACAATCAGACATGGTTTGATGTTACTCTGGTATACAGATTTAATGAATGTAACCGAAGGAGTGTCGGAACGCTGGGTCTCTGAATATTAACTTCTTCGGTTACATTCATTAAATCTGTTAACCAGAGTGGCATCAAACCATGTCTGGTCTTGAAGATGTTAGCTAAATGTGTGTTCATTGTGTATCTCCAATGTCTTCGGAAAAAATGTTATACTAAATGTTCTGCCTTTTGAAGCTGATCAACAGCTTTTAGGACACCATGACTTACTATCACACATGATCAAAACTGAAGATAGTCAAGGGTAGGTTTATTTTGTCTCTTAGGGCATGCTTTAATAATATAATGCGTTCACTATTACTGTGCCTCTCTCAGCCCCGGAGTATAAATGGGGAGTGGGTACTACCAAAACGATAAACTAGCATCTCACTCGGGGGGAGGGGGTTGGAAGGGGGTTTGCAATGCAATGCCTCCGAAACCGTGGTAGGGTCAGGCCGGATAAACCACCCAGCTTGACTGCTGACCATTCTTTTATCCCCTAAGATAGCAGGGTTCAAGTTCACCGACCTTCGGTGGTTTGGAGTTTTTTTTGCAAACATCATCAATTCCATGTCAAGCTTAACACGTTTGAATGAATTAGTGCAGAGTTTATCTTCCTCTGATGATATGTCTGATTTACACAGGCAGACTACCGTGTGGAGTGCAAGTCTGGATGGACAGATCGTAGGCTGGGATCCTGTGACCCTCACTGCTAAGAAAGAGGTAAAAAAATTTTTTCTGAGGACAATAAAATGCCTAGAATTGGCATCAAATGTACTAAGGTCACGAATTGCGGAGGGAGATTGGGTTAGTTCTCGTACTTGGATTTACAGAGATGCTGTAAAAAATCCATTTATGAAAAAAGAGACTAAACTCCGTAGAAAATATGTATTAAACTTGTTAAATGAACCACAACATATGGCTAAAATAAAAACTCCGAAACTTCTCTAAATTCCAAAAAAAGGGGTAACAAATTTACGCGAACGAAAGCTCAAAACAACTGACTAAAACTCCGCGGAAACAAAACTAAAAGTACACGAAAAATGTCCACGTAAGTTTTCCAATGTCAAGGTTAAAGTTCTTTGACACGATTGGCTAATTTGTGAAATCACGCGCGGCGCGCGTGAATTCAAAAAGAATACGAAGGGGGGAGAGGAAGAGAAAAACTGTAACTTGAAATTTAGAAAAACGAAAGAGATTTTCTACAGATGCTTCGATTCTTTAGGGATAGCTTTTACATTTTACAGCCCACTGTCTCTGTAGATGTGCGATATTTCACGCGTATGCAAACATTTGCTGTGGGCATGTGGAAGCGCTGGCGATATCCATGGATGGATCATAAACCCTTCTAAACAAAAGTTGTCTTTTTTAGCTTCATGTAAAGCTGGATCAAAGAAATGGCAAAACGCTGTACTCGATCGCTGCTGTCGGAGACACATTCTGGTGTGGTACGTGACGGTATTATTGCTGTGAGTGGCTTTCAAACTGTTAATCAAGGCCAAGCTGTTTGAAACACGATAGGGGTGACTAGATTTCACTACCCTGCAGTTCCAGCCTGAACAGCGAAACATTTTTGTATTCAGCTTAGCCCTAACTGGTATAACTGGGGTTTCCAATAACCTCGCCGGGGGTGTAATGGCTTTGACATGTAATTAAGTCTCAAAATATGATTTTAAATGCCGCTACTTTCTCTGTTTTATCTGTTACCAGGGATGATTACACGTAGTTTGATTTTATGGCCACAGTTTTCCTGTCGTAGTCGTCTCGGGGCTCGAGTGTTGAAGACTCTAACTCTCGGTTTAAAATCAGCTTGGTTTATCATGGAAGTACTGGTCAGAGCTTTTGTGCCCCTTGAGAAATTGCTAAAACTAAAACTTTTCGAACTTGTGCTGCCAAGGAAAACGAAAGATGATTCAAGGCAGTAAATGTTTGAAAGTCCAAGTCATCGGGAAATTCGATTAAACCAGTTTGGATTTAGCAAATTCTTACTTCAGGAGCAACGGCACTCTTAATGGCAAATTACATTGAAATTTTGATTTATGTAGCTGCATATCTGTGTAGGTCTAGAAGCGTTGAATTACATGTTTACCAGCACCTCCTTTTTGCTTATTTTCATAGCAACCAGGTTTAATATTTTCGTGATAAATTACAAGAGAGACGACAATGAAACCAAAATGTTAACTCCTAAGGAAGACGGACTGATGAGCGTGGACACCATGTGTGCAGTATCTAACGAGGAGGTGAGTGTTCCTAAAGGGCCCCTTAACCTTTGAACCCCTAGGAGTGATAACCATCTAGTTTCTCCTTAGAGTATCATCCTCGAATTAAACATTAAGGTCACGAGAATAAAGGAAATGATCTCAAACTCAAGAGGCTCTTGGCTGTTAAACAAATTCTCCTTCAATACGAATTCCAAATTAATTACATTGAACAAGTTAACTCAATCAATTTGAGGAAAGCTTAAAACAGTATGGAGAACTTTCACACTGATACTGGGGCGTAAGGGTTAAGTGAAAACTCTGCCTTGGCAACCATGTAAATTTTATCGCCGCACGTCATGGTTGACAACTTGGCAGGTTTGTCTTGGTGTGGGTTCAGTGTTTTCAGGATGGTTTGAACGACGCTACTTCGTTTCGGTTCCTTTTTTTCCCTTAGTGAGTGAGGAATTTATTAGTTCAGTTGCTGGTGCTCAACCTTTGTTACATTTTTATTTTTGTTTTCATTTCTGTGTCAGTCGTCTGCTCGTGACTTCTCAATTTAAGCCGCATAATGTTTAATCTTAACTGTCTTATGGTTGTTATGATATAAACGTTTCTGTTTCTTTTTCTTCGCAGTTTCTCTCTTTCTTTTTTTTTTTGTTTTTTGTTTTGACTTATTAATTCAGTCATTTACTTTTTACTTTTTTTTCTTATTTAGATTTGGACAGGGTGTGATAAAAAGGGCCTTGTCGTTGTCTGGAACACTGTGACCTATAAAAATAAACACCAAATAGTTTGCGAATGCAACGGGTTCACATGCATGCTGAAAGTGGATTATAACACGGTAAAAAGGCTGGTTTTTAGTGTGACTCTATAAGTTAGGCAACATGCAATAAATGATAGGAAGATCTATTAAAACATGTAACAGTAAGCGTCAAGAAATTTTGTTTGCATGTAGAGGAAATGTCTGCTTCCTTACAAGTAAGGAATGTTAGTATTTTGGGTATGATTTGTTTCTATTCAATCCTCTGGGGAGCACCTTCAGGTAAATTTCAAAACAATTTATGTGTTGATGTAATAAATGTTTTAGAATTCATCTCTTTGAAAAATCACTGCCTTTATTGTAACAAGAGTGCGCCAAAGGGATAACCGTTCTGGATGATTGAGCAGACAAGTATATCTTGGAGTTTCATATTTCTCAAACCGGATTACAAAAACTGTTGGTGGCATTTTTCTGAAGAATTTAGCAAATCCATGATATCGATCGACTATTTTTTGTAGGAGAAAAAAAAGTTTTTAATTCAATTCAATTCTTACCTTTCCAATTCTTGTCGTCTAGATCTGGGCGGGGAGTAAAAGTGGTAAAATCTATGTGATAAGTGTCAAGGAACTCCAAGTTACTATGGTATGTTCGATATTTACTGGTGTTAGTTGATTTACTACTTTAAAATTTGAAGTTTTTTCTCCTAGGAGTGACCAATATCTGACTTTTCCTCAAATGACTTAAGATTGTCTGAAAGCTGGCAGGTATTTTATGGAATGCCGTGATGGGAAATCAGAGCTAAAGAAACATCTCAAATCTTTCTCTTCTTATATTAGAGATCGAGTTGAAGTGTGGGTTGTCCGGGATTGTAATCGCACCGGTTTTTTTTTTTACCCTTGGGAAATGTGTCCCTTGCTAGCGAACGTTTATAGGGAAAAAAGATCAAATAAAGAGGAAGAAGAATAACTGATCTGATAAAGAGGGAGGGGATGGAGAAGTATTAATCTGATAGAAGGGGGGGGGAGGCAGGAAATTAGAAACGGGTTCTCCTCAAAATACTGCCATGTTCTGATAGTATTCTTCAGTGTTTTTTTGTTGTTGTTGTTGTTGTTGTTTCTGTTTTGTTTTGTTTTTGTTTTTCAACAATAAACAGTTAAACCTGAGAGCACTGGTCGATCACGCATTGCGATCGTATAGGTGGAGGCAGTTTCTAAAGGGAGTGTAATCGTTGACTATAATGATAAAAAAAACTGCGGTGCTGCGTTGGTGGGGGAGAATAACATGATAATTTTGGTTTTATCAACGGAGCTGAGCTTTGATAGCCTGCAGTAAAGCCGTCTCATTAGGGCGAGCAAACGTTATAAGCTCGCGCTCGTTTATCCACCGGCCATGTTTGGCCGTCGTCCGCCTCCCTTGGCACAAATTTCTTTCTCTCCCCAGCCTTCCCCTGCCATTAAAATCAAAGATTGCGGCCTTAATTTTTGTTAAGAAAATACTGAGCACTCGCTCGCCAAAATTAGGCCTGTTCTGCAGGCTAACGTTTCGAGCGTCAGCCCTTCGTCAGAGCGAACGAAAGGGCAAAGGGCTAACACTCGAAACGCCAGCTTTGACACTGTTTATGGTGGGCTATTCACATTATCAACTCAGTTGATAAAACCAAAATTATTTTAATTTTTCAAAGGGTTGCCAGATTGCAGGAGCCCGTAGGGCGAGTGCATTTTGTTACCTTTGAAAAATTTGGGAGGGTTGATTTATCCTAATTACTCGAAAAAAAAATATGATTACTTTTTAATACTATACATGCAAAAATTTGACTCAGTTTTCCTCTTAGCCGTGTTTATGATTCACTGGTGCGACTGCTTACCTTTGTGTTGTTGCCGGAGTCGTCGGGATTTTCCGGCAAGAATTTGCTTCGAGCTTATAAACTTTCTGTCAGGACTGATGGCGTGTTTGCTCTCTTTCCTAGTTACAATTCGCGTAACAGCAGTAACCAGTACATGAAGGCCTTCAGGCTCGTGATTTAATTCCGTCTTTCGTATGAACTGTTGCGTAAACTCCGAGAGAATTTTGATCTGGGCTTCCTGTTTTGGAAGCCCAAAACTTTACAAATTTTAGCTACTAATTTACTTTCTCCCAACCTGCGCAGCGTTTCGTTTTGTTGTTCTCTCTCCTCTCGACTCTCCTGTCAATCAATTTGATAGGAAATAGACAGCAATTTGACACGCAACTCTCCTGTCAATCAATTTAATTTCAACTTTCTGTACTCAATTGTATCTTTTGCACAGTACAGGATAAATTGACGTGCTCTCAACCAATGAGCATGTTGCGATTTTTGCATGCATATTATTGTGGTAGAAATTATACAGATTTATTATCGATTTTATTTCCTTTTATTTCAGGAGTTGTCTCTTCACCAGGACCGTGTCCGTTCTATGTGCCTCACGGACGAGGGACTCGTTATGTCGGGTCCCGGATCACGGGACGGGCGCATTGCAGTGTGGAAATCTCATCTATCTGAAGAGCGCCCTGCCATACAGCGCTTTAGTCACGAGCGTCCAAGACGTCCCAAACAGATACGTAGAGAAGTAACCGTTTGTGATGAAGAAGATGGCTTCGAACTTGTTTGCAGGAAATAGACAGAGAACATCGACGTGGATTGCAACAAAACCCGCGCCAAACTGTCACGTCCGACTTACCAAGGGAAAAAGGAAAAAAGCACTCAATGAAATCTTGCTGTCAGAATTGACAAAGCTTTACAAATGAATAAAGCCATGTAATTCTTTTTAATTTGTAACAATGGACTTAATTGTTCATCAAGCCGCCAGTTGGAAAACGTCACGTGTACAGAAACACAAATCAACTATTAGATCAAAGGTATCTGTAAGAAAAACTCAGGTCTCAGTCTCAGGTCTGCCTCTCTGTCTCTTCTTCATGTACCTAGGTCTAATCAGAAGACCTGTGGCGACAGAGCTTTTGCAGTCGCTGCCCCGCGACTGTGGAATGCTCTGCCCATTCAGATGAGGCAGCCTGGGACTGCACTAGACACATTCAAAAGGAGCCTCAAGACCCTTCTTTTTAGACAAGCTTTTTATCGTTTTTTGTAACTTTTTATTTATTTTCAAAATTGTAAAGCGCCATAGAGCTTTTAGGATATGGCGCTCTAAAAATTTATATATATTAAAAAAAATTTATATATATATTATTAAAAACTATGATTAGTGCGAAACGGACCGCATTTCTCACACCGCACAATGTTTTGCAGTAGTTAAGAGGCCTGCTTGTTGAAAATATTATAAGCCACAAATCACACAAAACGCAATCCAATGTTAAAACGCAACTAAGTTGAGTGAACCAATCAGACCACTTGAAATGAAATAATCGAAGTTGAAAATGTACTAATTACAATAGCTCCCGATCTTTGAAAGAAGGGTCGCGAAGAAATTGAGAGTGAATTTTTTGCTATTGCCTTTTTTCGGCACCTAGGACCCCGCAAGCAAAGCTTTGTTTTCTGAGCGAAGAAAAGAAAGTTTACTTGCCGATTATTGTCACGCACATGCCGAATGGGTCTCAAGGAACGCGTATCGCAGTGGGACGTATTGTTGTGTAGTCTAGATAAAAGATCGTGTCTCGCTGTGATGGTTGGGTAAATTTGGTTGTAAATGCAGTCAAAGACGACTCTTCTTCTACCTGTGAATCTATTTTCAATTTTCCAAGCCAAACTAAAAATAACAATTTAATCCTTTGGATAAGGAGTTTTTAAGACATTAGTAGAAATATCATTAAAGAACCCCTCTTCATGGTCAGCTGTTAGCGATGTATGGAATATGGAATCGCAGCAAAACCCTGAAATAACAATCAGTTGTACGGTCCCCCAAAATATTATTTTGCTACCAGTCTCCCGCCTTATTAGTAATTCTAACCCATCATGCAACACTTTCTCAGTGCGTGTGAAATTCAAGATGGCGGCGTTCCGGCGGTAAGTTGCTTTTCTGACCGATCTTGGTTCACACGGGTCATCTTAGAAAAAATTAGCAAATCCCTGAAGAAAAGAAAATTTGGATGTATGGTTTCTCTTTTGGTGTATGAATCTGGTCCATTTTTTGGCATTCAAATCTCACCAGTCTTTTCACAATGCGCATCTCTCAAATTCTCGTTCAAAGTGTATTTTTTAACATTTGTTGCGGAGGTCTCACTTATCTTCCTAAGCTCTAAAAGTCTGGGATTTATACTTTTTGTAGCCTGAATCTTGGTCATAAGGTAGCCGGAGTCACTTGAGTCATTGTTGTGTGCAACGAAAGTCTGTTTGATCGCTGTCGTTTTCTGAGAAGGCGATGTATGTGGAAGCTGCCCTCTCGCAAGAAAGAATGTTTAAAAGAATGTTGTTATTCTAGTCTTTGATTGACGGGGTTTTTCTTATATGGGAATCTCTTTTATTTCCTGTTGTTTTGATGTGTTTGCAACCTGGTGACGTGGTCTAATAAAACCGTGTTCAGGTGTAGAGTAATTTCTTTCAGTGATGGGTATCTTTGGAACCACTTTACAAGAGCTCATTTCAAAAGAAGGTTACAGTGTAGGGGTGACAAAATTAAAGTGGAAATAAAACTACAGGGACTACCACAAAGTGTTTTTATTCTTCAGGGAGATGTTTGGAATCATAATCAAATTAGACAGTATCTAGTTGGTTGCATGAACTAAACTTGAAAATGAAGTAATGAAAGAAGTGCCCACTGTTAGTCTTTGAGAAATCTAATAATTCAAGTGTTTTGATAAAAGTTGGTTAGTGGAAGTCTACCGCCTCCTGTAAGACCTCACTGCTGTCTATTTAGGCTGCAAGTAGGCTCTCACATTTGGGTTTTGTGATACTGCCCCTTTTCTGGGGACAGTAGCCTCTTACACCATTGGCAGCTGCTTATAGAAAAGATATTTAAACCCCAGGAATTACTCTTTACAAGCTATTATTGATCACTTTTGTTGTAACCGTGCAGAAAACTAATAATATGATATATATACATAACCTTGTTTCTCAATGATCTTTTATTTTATTTTATAGTCCAAGAAAAAGTAAATGGGATGTACCTTCTGCCGAGGGAGAGGGCAGTAATGGAAATGGAAACATGTCAGCTACTGATGCTGCAAAAGAGAGGGCTGCAAAATTGAATGCAATGTTGGCCGCTCAAGGGAAGCTTGCCAAAAGCAATCCACCTCCAGTTGTGGTAAAGCATTTGTTTGTTTTGCAAGAAGTCTGTACAGTATAATTGTTTTAATGCAGGGAACAATAAAGAACCTCTAAAGGTGTGGGAAATTTGCCGAGGGTCAGTGGTAACTGTTAGTTTTCTTTATAAAAGTGAGGGGATATTTTTATTTGGATTACCACCTAGGTTCAATCCACAGAAGTTGGAACAATTTGAAAGACTTAAGATCTCTTAGTGTAGTTTGTAATTGCCCCTTCATGATGTTTGCTTTGGTTGATTGGCAAGTATTTATTTGAAAGTGTGAGTTGACAGTGTCAGTTTATATTACTGTATTCTCATTGTTACACTGTGTATTGTGTTTATGTTAAGGGCCGTCCATCACCAGCAGCAAAAGTGACTCCCCCTCCATCAGTAACTGTTAACAATGGTGCCACTAGTTTTAGTCAAGATCTTATTACTGCTGAAGTGGAGATAAATGATTCTGCAGCCCGGTATGAAAAATATAACAGATATGCAACCCTTTTGAGTGATATACCATGAAATATTCTTTAAGTCTTTTGTTTTTTCTTGAAACTTTGGGCTCGTGTGTATGCTTAGAAATTACAAGTGATGAATACAACATGTAAAGATATTTTTTGAGTTGATCAATATTTTAAGTATATGCTATCAACAAGAGCATTTCTTTTCAACTCCCAGTAAACCAGTTGGGTAAATTATTCAACATGTCAGTGTAGTGTTTTTCATGTAATGATAAGTCTACCATGTTTTCATTATTTTTTCCAAATTTTTTTCATATTTGATAGAAGGTTAGATGATCTTATTCATCCTGTGAATGGCTGAAATCAAGTGTATAACAATTATTACTTTATGGGGTGTGAAATTGTGCCTAATACAGATGCCAATACCACTAAATTTTTTCCTTTGGGGACCAAATCCTGAAAATTAGTTGCCAAATTGGTGACTAGAATGCTTCATCATAACCTTACCTAGAGATATAGTGAGTTAAAAAGATTTGCAAAGATAAATCCACAGCAAACTTCCTTGTTAAGTTTGTTTCGAAAATGCAGCACATGCATCTCGATCAATGACTAGATGCCATCTTGGATTTAGGTGAACTTGAAGGTTGTATATCATCCATCCTAGTGTCCACTTTGTGGCATGTAAAAGATCTTTTTCCTAACTTAATTTTGGTGGGTCTGTCTAGAAGGCAGACAGTGGGGAAAAAAGGTTCTGTTTGTCTTTAAAAATGGCAAGCAACTTTTTTCGAATTGGCTACCACTTTGAAAAATTCAGGAGCCAAGTGGCTATCAGGAAAAAAAATTAATTTCATGCCCTGCTTTATGTATTTTGCATTCCATGCTTTGGTTTTTGTACTTCTTTTCATGTTTTATCATTCTTATGTTTACATGTGTTGATTTATTTTTATATTCGTTTTTTGACTTGTCAGCACTCTCCTCTGTAAAGGCACAACACAAGATGAGGTAGAAATTTATTATTTTTGTTTCAAATTATTAAAGTTAATTTCTCTGGTACTAGAAACTTGCAGTGCTACATGTACTAAGTACATGCACACCACAGAGAAGCCCTTGCTTTTCCTGTTCCCATTGGCCAGAGAGGTTCATGTTTCAGAAAATAACAACAAAATGGGAATTTATATTTGATACCCTCTTCAAAGAAGAAGAAATCAGTTGATAAAAATCAGCTTAGTTTTTATCCAGTAATCAAGAATGAAAAGTTGCATGGCACAAACTTTGAATTTAATGAAAACTTTGAATCACAAATTTAACCATTTAACTCTCAGTTGTGATTAACATGTAAATTCTCCTTAAATGATCCATGTATTTATCAAGCAAACGAGTAATGAGTATACTCAAACTATTCACCGAGGTAGAAGTTCTCTTGATCTATCACCAAATTCTCATAACTTACTTACAAGGGGAGAATCATCAAAAAAGATCTTGGGAGTTCAAGGGTTACTAGTGCTCAACCCTTTCACTTATCTGCTTGATATTGTATTGATATTGTTTGGAGAAATTCTGTCTTGGTCACTCATGGGAGTTAAAGTGTTAAGATAGTGATTGTTATTATAACACCATGCCTAAAATTGGCATATGTTACATTTGGTTTTAAAAGACCTAATCAGTATTAAACTTTCAATGTTACATTTAATTTCAGATCAATCGTTACAGTGGAGCTGCTGTCTCCACCAGAGGAAAGTTTATGTCTGAAAATGAAAAGAGGGAGGCAGAAGGAACAGGGTAAATATACCAGTTTCATGTAGATTACAACTTTTTTCAATAGTGCTGAGACATTTTCAATAGCAGTGAGGCAGGTAAAGGTAAAGTCTGTTTGAGAGCCAAGTGGCCCATACAGCTAGAGTTTATCCTGGTTTTATTAGCATGATGGGACTAGGAGCATTTTAAATCCTCCCTGGAAGGGAGGCAGTTTATCACACAATTACCTCCAGCATTTCATCAGGCTTCCCTGACAATTCACTGGCTCCCATTTATACTCCTGGGAGGAGAAGGGTACTGTGTTGCCCAAGAGCACAACACAATGGCCTGGCCCATACCTCTCAACCCAAAGTCCAATGCACCAACCATTAGGTCTCCATGTTTCTAAGTGAGGTAGGCAGTCTTCAAATAATAAGTGTTAACTACTGTTTCTGTTGTCTATT